GGTGCTCCCATAATTATTTACCAACACAACGGACATGCTTGGAGAGAACTTAGATTCCCCAGGAAGAAGGAAATCAAGGTCTACAAGACTTCGCCGTTGGTAGAATTGGTCAAAGAAAGCTCTGTTTGGTTGATGGACGCGGAAGGGAGTCAGTTTATGACACAGGATGGTACTCTTTACCGCCATGAAGTCGAACAACGATGCATTCAAGATGCTTGTGAAACTCTAGGAGAAGACTTCTCAGACGAAGTTCTTAGTAGTCGTAGTTTGGATTTCTTAGCAGCAAAGAAGAGGAATGGGTGGAAGCCCACGCMTAAGGAATTCGCTGACATATCCAAAGCCTGTGTAGAACATGGTCACGGAGGTCTTTGGAACATGGAGTACGACGAAGGCGAATACGTCTCCTTAGACATGAAACATTGTTACCCTGCGAGTTTCAAAGGATTGGGGGATTGTAAGGAGTATTATGACCGGTATGGACATCCAGACTCACAGTTCTTTCGTGTGTCTTTAGACGGCAGCTACGACGCTCCTGCTACGGGGTTCGTAAGGTTGACCTCATGGGAGTTAGCAGAGGGCTTACATCCCATAATCTACGCGTGGTACGGTAAGCATTTACAGGAGAAGGAATGGATGCCGGTGCCGCTGTTAAAGTTCTTCGAAGAGAATGGACTTATGACGTACACAGCCCACGAAGCCATACTCTGCCACAGCGCCTTCACACAATGGTTACCGGAGCACAACCCTACCGCACGTGTGGTCATAGGAAAGTTCACACAAGGGGCTAAGGAGGGAGAGAAACACATGCAGCGTCGTTTGATAACGGATGACGGCGAACTAAGCTTCTTAGTCAAACGTGCGCACGAAGATGGAACCATGGTGTCTGTGGAGAAGTGGGAACACTTCGTAGAAGCCGAGAAAAAGGCATACAAATGGAATGCTTTGTGTTATTATCAAGACTACAGGCCGCAATATTACCATTTGCGTGCCAGTATGTTGGCATATGCACACATTAACCTCCTTGCGATGTTGCTAAGGTTYGACAAAGARGACATWCCRCGTGTAGCCACGGATTCCTTGTACGTGAAGCCGGAAGTGTTAGAAAAGATGAAGGAGTTCTACACTGAAGACGAGTTAGCGGAGAGTGGTCAGTGGCGTGTGAAAGATGAAGAGATCAAGGCGTGGAGAGGTCGCGTAGAATACCACGGTGGACACACGAAGGGTGCAGTAACACCTACTAAGGAAATGCTGCCTTCCGCTGTTGACCCCATTTCTTACAAGCGCTTTTCTTACCTACATGGTACGGGAGGTAGTGGTAAGACTACCAGGGTTTTGCAGTTGTTTCCCAAGATAAAGGTGTTAACGCCGACACATCGCCTGGAAAGGGAACTATGCAGCCAGGGTTACGACGCACAAACTTATCACAGCTTCTTCCGTTGGAATGGACAGAAGTGGGTGCCTGAAGCCATTCACAACATACCGTCGGTGATACTTTGGGACGAAATCTGTACCGTGCCCTTAGAGATACTCAAGGAGTTCGTAGAGTTCCTAAGGGGGAAGTGTCAGGTAATATTCGCCGGTGATCCCTGCCAACCACCTCCAATAGCTGGAGAAATGCCCCATGAATGGCTGAAAGAAATAGTAGACCACGTGGAAGAAATCAACACGGATTACCGTAGTAAGGATCAAATACGTAAGCTAAAAGCAGAATTACGGGGCCTTAGCGACGCCGACCAATGTAAGACGTTACGTAAGCGTGTGCGGGCGAAGAAGTATGAAGAATTCCTACTCGCATGGCATCCTAAAGATTTGGTGTTGAGCAGTAAACGTGCCGCACAGTCCCGAATACAGAAGGATTTGTTGCAGGTACACAGAGAACGCTTTCCTAATCACTTGGTGCCCGTTTCTTACAAGCCCCACGACACTCGCATGCAAAAGAGGGACGTCTGGGTACCTGGTACTGACATTCAACTACGGAACGCAGTAACCCACGACAAAGCCTGGGTGCCCATGGGAAAGGTGGAAAAAATAACGTCCCACCCCGATTGGCGGTTGGGTTATTGTATGACG